AGTTTGGTTCAGGATGTGTGGAAATATGCAGTGCTGAAGTGAAGACACACATTTCTATAAACTTTCTCTTTTAGGTTATCTATGTCATCAGGAATCCAAGAGATGTTGCTACATCTCACTATCATATGAGAAAACATTTTCACCTTTTGAACAATCAACAGACTTTTGATGAGCATCTTCGCTCATTTATCCAAGGTGACAGTGAGTGGAATCTGGACCACTAATTTTATATTTTGAAATCAAGGCAAGACCAGAGATCTGTGTTGCATGTTTAAAAGCCAAATCTGTGGGTCACAATTTTTTAAAATTTACTCAGTGTGGGACAAGAAGAATGGTTTAGCTGTTAAAAGTGTTTGCTACTCTTGTAGATGTCCAAGTTTGGTTCCTAGCATCCATGCCAGGTTTCTCTCAATTGCTTGCAACTCCATATCCAGGGGTTTAGCGCCCTCTTCTGGCATCCCCAGACACTGCATTCATGTATGCACATACCCACACACAGATATATATGCATGTAACTTAAAATAACAAAAACCAATGTTTTAAAATTTTACTCAATGTGATGTCAATAATTTTATGGGCATCCAGATGCAATCTGATTTTCATTTTATGCATTTTTTTCACTTAGAAAAATGCAATACTTGTATGATTTACTATATAGATATGAATGATCATTTATCCTTCATTTTTATATTTATCAATTGATTGTTTTCAGTTATTATATTCATTAACTTAGTGTGTGTGTGTGTGTGTGTGTGTGTGTGTGTGTGTGTGTGTGTGTATGGGGTTTCACAGTGCCATTGTGCATGTGTGGATGTCTGAGGACAACTTGTGGGAGTCAGTTCTCTCCTTCAGCCATGTGGATTTTAGGGATAAAGCTCATATCATCAGGCTGTGGGTCAAGTGTCTTTATCCACTAAGTCATTTCATTAGTTCTTGGTATTTTACTCACAATGAAGTATTATTTAATAAATCTATGATTGCTTCATAAAATAGTTCTTACGTGTATTTGGATTTTTATCCTGCTCTTTTTATACACTTTTCTAGCTAGAGGTTCAAAGAGGCAGGGTTGGAGATGTGGTTCAGTGGTTATGTACTCTTTCTGCTTTTTCAGAGGACCCAGATTCAGTTCTGCACCCATATGATGGCTTAAAACCATCTGTAATTCCAGTTCCAAGAAATACTATACCCTCTTCTGGTCTCTGAGAACACTGCACCCATGTGAGGCACATACATACATATCAACAAACATTCCTACACATGAAATAAGTTATAAAAAATCCTTTTAAATATGTAGGTAGTAAGCATGCATAATTTTTTCCTCTAAAAAGCACATGTGAGCTTCTTGGACAATGTAATAATTGTGTTATAGACCTCTAGAGGTAGAAACTTGACATCCTTTACCTTCCTTAAAGTAAATGCCATCCTCCAATCAGGAATAAGAATAAATTCATGAGGTGCAAAGTTCAGTAATAATTTCCTTTTCCTCCCCTATCTCTGTAGTAGTTTTTGGATCCTGGTTTGATCACGCACTTGGATGGTTAACCAGGAGAGACACAGAGAACTTTCTACTAATGTCCTATGAGGAGCTACAGAGGGTAATTCTCTTTTACTGTGTTTCCTACATTGCTCATATCTGCCTTTGTTCCTTTCCTTTGTATTTCTCTAGGGGTAAACAATCGAGTGAGTGAGTGGGAGACTGTCATAGTTAGCATCGTTGTCAACTTGACACACCTGAGAGAGGAGCTATCCATGGAGAGAATGCCTCTACTAGATGTCTGTGGGGGGATTTTCTCAATTAATGATTAATGTAGGGGAGCCTCATCACTCTGGGTGCCATATCCATAGGTGGGTGGGCTTGGGATGTATAAGAAAGGTAGATGAGTAAGTCAGAGGGAGCAAGTCAGTGAGCAGCATTCCTCTGTGGGCTCTGCTTCAGTTCCTGCCTCAAGTTCCTGCCTGGCTTCCATCCATGATGCTCAAAACCCAGAAGCTGGATAAGGCCCTCCTCCCCCAGGTTGTTATTGGTCAGTATTTTATCATGGTAACAGAAAAATCAAACCCAAACAGGGAAGGTGTGTAAAACCCAGCCTTTCATTGCCTGCATAACCTCAGCACGTTCTAACTCATCCTGTGACTCACTGTTCTCCTGAAACTGCAAAAACAGCAGTATTCAGCTACACAATAAAAGTGACAACTATCTAGAATAGTGAATGTCATGCTACATGTGTGGTTGATAAGTCTTAGCCATGTCTTATTAAAGACACGTGCTTCGTCTAAACGTTCCTTCAGTTTCAGAGTAAGAATCTGATGGCTTTTGTTCAGAACGCTAGCCTGGCAATGCTCTGCATTCAAGCTCAACAACATTAGTACACGAAAGTTGTCACAGTGGCTCCCACCCCGGCAACCTGACCACATCAACACATTTGATGCAGGCACCTCAATAGCTTCATATTGGGGCCCAGGGACAATCAGATGGAGTATTGAACATAAAACTTAGGCAAGGACCTTTCATATAGACTTTCAGAGAATGTTCCAGGCTCGAGTCCTAAGTCAGAACTCAGAACTGGCCAACAGGAATCTCACCATAGTAAACTATGTATTATATACAGCAATCCCAATACTCCAAAGAGTAGTGGTTTTTCATACAACTCTTTCTCTCTTTCAAATGCCCTTCTATTGGCTGATTTAATCCAGTGACCACTGAAATTCCCATTTCTTTCTGTGGCATACAGTGTTTTTTTAGAAAGTGCCTGTTCATTTTCTGCCTCCACTTTCCAATCCAATTTACATCCAGTTGGATTCATGAGTCTTGTTTTTTCCCAACAAAATTTGCCAATGAAAAGTTGGTAACCAAGGGTAATGATGAGTGTAATGGGGAGGAGCAGAAAAAAATATTTCATGTATTTTATATGAAATCTAGATTAGCTGTGGGGGACACACAGGGAGAAGCAGGAGATGGACTGTCCAGGTTAGGGAAAGGGTAAGTAGGAGGGGTAAGGTAGACAGCAAAGCATGATGGGTGATGAGCTGAACGTGAGTTCAGTACAATGATACACATGTATAAAAAGTGACATAATGAAGTCCCACATTTTATACACTTAAAGTTGATTAGTTTTTCATAAGGAAAAGTAAGGGGCTTGAGGTTGGCTTAGCTGTTCAGAGCATTTGCTGCTCTTCCAGAGGACCTGAGTTTGGGGCCCAAACCCATGCCAGTTAGCTCATAACTGCCTGTAACAATAGCTCCAGGGGAATCTGATACCCTCTTTTGGCCTCCACGGACACTACACACACACACACACGACACACACATACACAGGCATACACACACAGACATACACACACAAATACATACACACATAGACATACACACACAAACACATATACACATACACACACAGATGCAAACATACACAGACATATACACACAGACACACACACAAACACATACACACATACACAGAAACACACAGACAGACACATATGCAAACATACACACACACACACACACACACTTTTTTTTTCTGAGCTGGTGGCTGGCAGGCAGACTTGACGAAGGAATGGGTTTTCTTTTCATGACTCCTTTATCCCTTCACAATGTAAGACAGAGTATGAAAACTGGTGAAGTTGGTGCTGGAGCAATGGCTGAGTGGCTAAGAGTACATGCTGCCTTTACAGAGGACCTGGGTTCGATCCTCAGTACCCACATGGTGGCTCCCAGCCACCTCTAATTCCAACTCAGAGGGATTCATTGTCTTTTTCCTGCCTCAGTGCTCACTGTATGCACATGCATCATATATATTTATATTATACATTATAAATTTAGACATATCATGTATTTATTATAAACTTATATTTTCCTTTTATACTATATAATTTATAAACATAATGTAAAAATATAACTGTATAAATATGTTACATATGACATATTGTGTATATTAATATATAAATATATTATATAAGATATATTTGTATATTATATAGGATATATATTTGTATATTACTATGCATACTATATTATTATATATTTGTGTATATTACTATATATAATATGTAAATATTCATATATAATAGATTATATATAAATATATATGATGTAGGGTGTTGGAAACAAAAGTTCAGGTCACATAATAAGGAAGTATTCACCTTCTTGAGAACTCAAGGGCTATGTCACCATCAGTGCTTGTATCCACTCTCTCCTGTTAACTCCTTTTCCACCCACAGGACCTCAGAGGTAGCATGCAAAAAGTGTGTCAATTTCTGGGCAAATATCTGACTCCAGAACAGCTTGATTCTGCTGTCTGAAACTTGTCCTTTCCAGTCATGAAAGAGACTAGCATGTCCAACAGCCTAATGCTAAGAAATCCCAAAGATGGCACCGTCTCCAATATACCATTGCTGAGAAAGGGTAAGAAAAGATAGAGTGTCAAGGTTGTGTTGTAGAAATGGGTAGGTGTTTGATGTTTTCGTGAAGCATGAGTCATGAAAACAGACGTGCTTGGAAGCTAGTGTCATATTCCATCATATTCTTCAGAAGAGTCGCTGCTCACAGATCCGTTACTGAGACTCCTTAAAACCACGGTTAAGCAGAGAAGGAGTGAGAAGTGCCTGTGCCCTCCTGGCTCTGCCTGTGCGATGGACAAGTCCTGTCTATACACTTAGACCAGTCAGTCTCAGTGACATGGTCCACGTCTATAAGAAACCAGAGGTGTAGTCACAGGAACAGCACTTTCCAATTCAGAGGAGCGGGGAGCACTTTAAACCACTGCGTTATCTTTCCAGCCCCTCTTTGAAGGAATAAAGGGTGAAACTTAGGCCTGATCCCTAGAACTTGGAAAAAGAATTTTTGAGATCACTTTTCCAAAAGTATGGATTCCTGATTTTAACTTTGGGGATTCTAGATATGATCTTCATGCTTCCCACTTTCTGCATTGTGATGCTGGTGTCTTTTAGGATCACGGCATGAACTACAGTTCAGGTGGATGTTCACTGCACTGAGAACAACACCAGTGTAGACATGTTACAAACATGACTCCCAACCAGAACTGTAAGAGAATCAGGGTCTCTTCATGTTCAAACCCCAACACTCTAAGACAGCCATTAAGGACTCATTCATGTTTTCAAACATGCTCAGAGTTTATTGAATGTATTTGTTATCTAAATATTGCAAAGTGGTGAGGGGAAGTATAAAGACGGATGGGGGCAGGACACTGTGAAAGAACAACCCTGGAATCAGCTACCAGTACCAGGTGTGCAACTTGGGACAGGGTACACAGGAGGAATATGACGAAGGAAAAGACGTTGTTTCAAGATCAGTTTGTGCTGTTCCATACCAGACGGACACCTCTCCTCTTGCGTTCTTCTTTGACCCAGGGACAATGTAAGATATCCAGTTTTTCCTTCATTTCCACAGCTTGCAGTAGCATCTTTGACTCCTCAGTCAATGCAGATTTGTCCAGTCTGGAGTGAAAAAGACAGTGCTGTTTATTTTTATTACATTTACTAATTTGTATGTGTTTATACGGGCACATGCTACAGTGCACATGGAAGATCAGAGGTCAATTCATGGGAGTCCATCCTCCCCCTTCTATGTGGGTCCCGGGTTGTCAGGCTGGACAGCAAGTGCCTTCACCCACTGAGCCATATCAGCATCTCAAGTTTTGTTGACAATCACTTGCCTCTCTTTACCTCTATGCTGACTTCTCTGTCACCCTTCCCTAGGAATGAATGAATGTACCAAGTGTCAAGAGAAGGCGTGATTCTCTCCCAGAGAGTAGGGACCCTATCATATATATAGATATGTAATATAGATGTCTATATAAAGAATCTATCAAGATGTTAAGATTAAAGTTAAAAAACATTGAAGTAAAAATGACTTTTTTCAGCCATTCATTGTTTAATTGCCTAACCATGATGTTTATTATTCCTTATTCATACATTATAACTTAATACAGTGTTGGCTTTTCTCAAACTTGTGAATACTAGTATAATGTCATTGTCACCAATCTCATAATCATCTATCTTAAGCCTCTCCCTTTTGTGCCCCTACTCACTTTCTATGAGACATTTAAAGCTTATCCTACATCTTAGCTCACCCATGAACATATCTGATGCTCATCTGTTCTCACTGCCTGTTCCACCCATGCCATTATCACTAAGCTTACCTAAAAAATAAAAATTACCAAACACTCATTATCTTTACACTTATATTTAAAAATCCATTTGTTTATTCTTTGATAATTTCATATATATACAATGTATTTTGATCATATCCTTTCCCCATTCTCCTCTACATTCCTTTCCAAACTTTAAGTCCTTTTCCTCTCCAATAGCTCACTGAGTCTAAGTCGGGATGCCCACAAGCGTGTGGATGTAGGTGCATGCTCTGGAGACTATGCAACCTACAGGGCCCACATCCCTGAAGAAAACTGACCCTCCTTCCCCTTGAAGCCACAAATGTCCCTAGCTCCTCAGCTAGGGGCGCGGTCATGAGTCTGTGCTGGAGAGTTGACCGGCTTGAGCTTGTGCAGGTCTTGTGCAGACAGCCGCTGCTCCTCTCTGGTCATGAGTGTACCTGCCTTCTCAAGTCTAGAAGAGGCTGGTGTGCAGCAGTCCTGCCAAACTCTTACCATGTTCCTACCCCTTCTTCCTCAGTGTTTCCTGGACCCTGGAAATAAGGGACCACGCCTCCCTTTAAAAAATAATGTCTTAAGCAGTCAACACGCAACATGGTTAATTTTTTTCTTGAAAAATTTCCTCTAGATTTTTGGGCAGTAGTTCCCCTTGAATTTCACAAATTGAGATCAGAACACAGGTCTCTCTGATAGGGTACAGCTGGCTGCCTCAATTTTCTCCACCTTCTCTGCTTGCTTTTTTCTTGCCTGATGTCCATAACCATAAGTCATGTCACATTTAACTATAAAGAGTTAATACATAGGTCTGCCAGGATCTTTAGATCTGCTGCCCATTTTGGCCCCTGCCTGTCCAACCTCCCCCTCAGTCAATACTGCCCCAACCACAGCCTTCTCACCATGATTTACCCCTCTGTGTCCACACCCCAGCCCTTCTCAACATCTCATCCTTGCCTGCACATTACTCTTTATAACCCCAGTTATTTTATAACCCCAGTTATATAAGACCTAAGGACCTAAGTCAACAGGGCAGAGGCATGAGCCATTTTTCTCACTGAATGTTCCTTAAAACATCTTCACAGGCACTTACATAATCAACCTGCACATATGGAATAAGTTCTCAAATGTAAATAAAATATTAAGAAACATAACTGGATTTCTAATTCCATACAGCAGTTTCAGAACCCTTTCTGACTCTAGACTGGAGGTGAACATTTATGGGTAATGTGTGTGTGAGGCAGTGTTTGTAATCGCCTGAGCTGGGTGATGGTGTCTCCAGAACACATGAAAATGCCAACCAAGTTGTGCCCAGTGGTATAACACTGGCCTGGTAGTTATAGGACTAGCCAATCACTTTTTAACTGGATGATGATGCCTGTTCCACAGGGGAGATTTAATGTCTGCTACTGTAAACATTGTCAAAATCCCATGGCCAAGGAGATGACAGACCCTAGAGGAAAAGCTACTGTGGTTCCCTTAAATGGCCATGTTGTAAAATTGCCATCTAAATGTACAAATCTATGGGTATAAATGTAAACTTCTCACAGCCTTGGTCAAGGAAGCCTTTTTCCCTTTTTTTGGGGGGTGTGTGGGTGGTGGTTAATGCAGATTCACAACTGGTTGAAAATCCTGAGAGCAACTGTCTATGAATGCTGAGTCATGGATGGGTCATTGATCAACCTCCCCATCCAAGGCTCATGGATGATCATGAAAGAAGGGACAGACAGACCTCAAGGGCAGAGGATGGGAAGAAGCACCATGAAATGCTATCTTGTAGACATGACATGACCGTTTTATGTATCCACTCACAGTTGATGCTGAGGTTGCCGGCACAAGACCTGCATTCAAAATTCCAAAATTCCTCCCCTAGCTGAGAAACTATTGGCAGCTGATGACAGCTGAATGAGAATAACTCTTAATATCTGGCTGTTGGTAGGTTGCCCAGGCCCCAGCAGACGACCCCATGCCCATAAGCACATGGTCATCAGGACTTGGAGTCAGGGGGTTATTAGTTGGGATTGGAAGGTCCTGGGAGGGTTGGAGGATGTTAGTGGGGGGTGGAATATGATCAAAACACATTGTATACATGTATGAAAATTTCAAATAGTAATGTGTTAAAATTAACTTATGGCCTGGAGAGATGGCTCAGTGGTTAAGAGCACTGAATGCTTTTCTAGATGTGACTAGGGTTCAACTTCCAACACTTACATGGTGGCTCACAGTTATCTGTAACTCTGTCCCAAGGCAACTGATGACCTCTTCTGGCCTTTTTAGGCACTGGACAGGCATGTGGTGCATGGATTTTCATGCAGAGAAAACACTCATTAAAGTGTTTTAAAGATTAATTTGGCATTGAAAATGTGTTATACCCTAAGAGACCATTTAAATGACTTACACAAATTACACTATATATGTGAACTCATATTTTGTCTTTTTTATTACCATTTCTTGTTTTTTCTAAATGTTATACAATACCCACATATAACATTTGTTTGTGTGTGTGTGTGTGTGTGTGTGTGTGTGTGTGTGTATGTGTGTGTGTGTTTGTGTTTGTGTATATACATTATAGACTAGGATCCATATATGAGTGAGAACATGTGCACTTTTTCCTTCCTGAGACCAGGTAACCCTATTTGGTATACTTCTAAGTTCACTATTTTCTACAAATATTGTGATTTCATTATTCTTTGGAGTTGAATGATAATTTAAAAATAAGCCAAGTTTTTAAAAAAGATGTCTGATGATGTTTGGAGGAATCACCACCAGAGGGCGCTACTCATGAATGGCTGGAAATCAAGGATGGTTCTCAGTGTCCTAGAGTACAAAAGTGATCCTGTACAACAGAACGTCCTAGCCCAGTCTCAACGGGGCTGAGCTTGAGCAAACCACCGCTGAAGAGCTTGCTCTGAAGTTATTCCTGACCCCCAGAGACAGGGAGTACTCACCCCAGCACCTTCAAATTACAACTTTTGTGACTCAAAGCCTCACACAGCAGCTGCAGCCCATCGTGGTCAAAGGTTATCCAGTCGAGGTTCAGGCTAGTCAGTGTTTTGCATGTGGTGAGAGCGGAGGCAAGGTCTTCACAGCAGTCAGTTTTGAAGTCATTCATGTCTAACCTGTGACAGGGAAAATACCAGAAACAGAATGTGGTATTTGGGTACCAGCCAGTTCCAGGCTTCTGAGCCAAGTCCTAACCAGCCCCAAATGTCCACAGTAAGCAAAAGCACTAAGCAAATCCAGGTTTCACAGAACAGTTTTTTTTTATTATTTGAGAATTTCATACATGTAGACGATGTGTCCTGATTACATCTGTCTACCACGCACACTTCCAACTCCTCCCAGACCTCCCATTCTACACAGCTCCCACTTGATACCCGTTTTAGACCCATTAAGTCAGTGGTTTGCTGTGGATATCCCTCTGTATAAATACAATGCGGATTGGCCAGTAGCCAGGCAGGAAGTATAGATGTGACAAGCAGAGAAGAGAATTCTGGGAACAGGAAGGCTGAGCAAGAGAGACGCTGCCAGCCACCGCCATGAAAATCGAAATGTAAGATACTGGTAAGCCACGTGGCAACTTACAGACTAATGGAAATGGGTTAATTTAAGATAGGAGAACTAGATAACAAGAAGCCTGCCATGGCCATACAATTTGTAAGCAATGTAAGTCTCTGTGTGTTTACTTGGTTGGGTCTGAGCGGCTGTGAGACTGGCGGGCGAGAGAGATTTGTCCTGACTGTGGGCCAGGCAGGACTGGAGAAAACTTCAGCTACAGTGGTTCTCAACCAGTGGGTTGTAACCCCTTTAGGGTCAAACGACCTTTTCACAGTGGTCACATATTAGATATCCTGCACATCAGATATTTACAGTGTAATTTGTAACAGCAGCAAAATTACAGCGATGAAGTAGCAGTGAAAATAATGTTATGTTTTGGGGTCACCTCAACAGGAGGAACTGTATGGAAGGGCTGTAGCATTAGGAAGGTGGGAATCCCCTGCACCAAGCCCAATCAGCATCGCCTTAGGTGCTTGGGTTTAGGAATACCCATTGGAGCACAGGCGGCCAGGGCGACATCTCTACAGAAAACTGACTCTCCTCCCATCAGCAGCCCAGGGCAGGGGCTTCTCGAGTGCCTCTGCCATCCAACCTGGAATTGTGACCCGGATGACTCATGCCAGGTAAGCTGGTGAAGAACCTGAGGCCAGGCATGCCATAGGCCCTAAGGGAAAACCCACTACTTCTGCTTTACTAAGGGGACATAACATAAAACTACCTTCTAAATCAGTGGTTCTCAACCTTCCTAATGCTGTGACCCTTTAATACCGTTCCTCATGTGGTGGTGACCCTGCCTCTGCTAAATTATTTTCATTGCTACTTCATAACTAATTTTGCTACTGTTATGAATCATAATGAAAATATTTGCGTTTTCTGATGGTCTTGGGTGACCCCTGTGAAAGGGTCATGGTCACCCCCTAAGGGGTCATGACCCACATGTTGAGAACCATTGAACTAAATGCTCAGCATTATTCCTATATGTTAGTTCAGCTCTCAAACCCCAACAGAGAAGCTTCTTTTTGCAATGGACTGGTTAATACAGAGACTCACAGCTGGTCAACATTCTTAGAGTACTCAGCCTTACAGGGAACATGTATACCAGCCCTTACCCCAAGGCTCAGGGAACCTGAGGGCCCAGAAGATGACCCAGAAAGACTACAAGAACCAGATACTGTGGTGGGGGAAAACATGACAGGGCAGTGACGCTCCAACTC